CAAATCAACCAAACTTTTAGCATTTTTTATCAACCGCTTACTGGATTTCTGTGTTCAGAGTTCTGTGCTCGATACAGCTTTTATCTCTTCTGATCAGATGTCCCAAGATTTTCTCTTTCATCATTTCTTTATTTATCACGTGTCCCGTTTTCCTCATTAACCACACTTCAGTGCCATTTAATTTTTCTTCCTGAGTGGTTTCAGTGCTCTAAGGTTCAAGCCACAAATGAATAACAGTCCTTTGCTGTTCCCGCATGTTTCGCTAAATCAGATTCATGGCTTCCCCTGTTGTATGACTTGCTTCATCTGTACCCACTTGTGCCACCTGCTCGAACAAACATTCAAATCTATTTTTTCCCAGATACTTTCTATCTGCATGGTCGGCCTAAGATGTTGAAATTTCTTTAATTCAAATTCTTCATTAAATTTGTAACATAATTTTTAAAAACTTTTTCTATTTAAACTATGGAATAACTCTGGTAATGATGGCAACACTACAGTTTGTTACGCAAGTAATTAATAGAGTCTGTAGCTATGGCAAAGGTATTGAATTTGTTTGATTATGAGGAACTGGGCGGACTGTTGTTACTTCATTATTGCCATGCACTTTAATTTTGCCGTTCAATTTCTAAGCTTTCTCATTGCTATCACTAATTTACCGTACGCTTCGTACATGAGCTCCATTTTAGGAAGTGACTTTTAACTTGAAATAATGCCACTAGGAGACACGTATGAAGAAGTTGCATAAGTGATTCTAAAAGCATTCTTATTTTCAGCAGGTAGGGCTTGCTTCGTTTATTCATTCTATCGCGCTAAAATTGATGTCAAACTACTAAAATTAGTTTATTTAATTCATACATTTTCTGTTAAGTCATCAATATTTCATCGAGAATGGAGTTGAATTCAGCTTTTAATTAACTGACGTTGCTTGATTGCTATAGAAGCCTCTTATGATGAAAAATCATCTTCAGCTCCGTCCCAATTCATCTTGGTTGGTTTTAACAAAAAGTAGCAACGCGTGTCTGGTAAAGAAGCTACTTTCGCTAAACCACGTTAGCGTGATAAATTTTAGCAACTGCTGAATGTGATTAGTTCTTTCAGACAAGCGCTGCGAAAAAAATGCGCACTTTCATCGCATGCATCACCGAAGTCAGCTATACCAAAAGGAGCAAGTACTACACATAAATATGAAAACAATTAACAACACATGAATGGAACATAATATGGCATTTTCACGGTAGGCATGGAATCTTTTGGAAAGTTGATTTTGTTCTTAGCCGGGATTTGCTGTTGTGCTTGAAATAGAAAGCTCGCGATCACTGAGCTTTCCCAGTGCTGAGACGGGGATGCGGAACTTGAATTCTAAGAAAGAAAGCCGTTCGCAGACTACAGACTATGCAACATGGAATGAAATGAGCTATGTCGGGAATAACAAAAATATGAGACGAATGACTGGCTAGCGGCATAAACAAATGCCTGCGATCTCATTGCACGGCTGAAAAAGTTGAGGTGGCAAAGGGCACGACCCGCTTCAAAGAGAACCGACCATCGTTTAACTTGGTTTTAAAAGAACGTTAGCTGGCCGTGGCAAGACTTCCGGTTTGATCGTACGATTAACTGAAGAAGTTCATTGTCTCAAGATAGGTAAGAAGATAAGATAGTCAAAAACAGAAGTTTGTGGCAAAACTTTTCAGAGGCTTTCATCCTGGTGTGAAATGATAATGACTGATGTTGATTATGGCACATCTTCTTGAAGAATTGTAGCTAACAATGCAGGCACTCCATGGTTGCATGAACGACGACGTTTCGTTGCAGATTGCGATGTCTGCAGGAAAGTTTTAGAAATTCTTCTTCGTAGAAGTCAGCACCTGAGGTCCAATTTTTGCCTCACACTCACCTAGCAAAGGCCAAATCGATGACCTGATCAATGGCTATACACATGCAGCACCACTCGCTGATAGTGCTAAGCTGCGTCCATTTATCTTTGCCTCATACATGTGGCTCTAAACTTTTGCATTTGTGTCTGCTCTTTTGTGTTATAGTGCCATTATGACTTTAAAGTGCCCCCGAAACATCGCAGCTCAGTTTGCGCATAACTGTTTTGTGCAGTAAGTCTACTACTAACTCAGCCATATCTATGCGATACTTTAACGACACGAGCAAACGTCAACGTCCACGTGGTACCTTTGCAAATAAGTTTTGTTGACAAGTATTTTCGTAATTACAACATTAGGAAACATTTTCGTTTCAATATGCTGCCTAACTGCCTGATTAATAACTTAACCATGTTTCAAGCTATAGTAGTACGTAGGTTTATGATCTGGTTTTAAGAAATCAGTTGCGTCGTAAATATCAGTAACGCCTGCTCTTCCGATTCGCTATGGAATAAATTGGCTGTTAATCTCCATTGTTAGGTTATTTAATGTCTATAGTAAAGTTCGTGATACGTTTATGAAAAGTTCTCAGATGTACATTACAGTACATCACAAAAACTCAACAGCGAGGCAAAAATTTGCAGCAATAGCAAAATAAGAAGCTTCATCGAGCAAAGATGCTAGAATCTTTTTATTCGATGTGCAAATTAAGAGCGTTAGAGTTAAGCACCAATCGATTCAACTGCTAAGAATGTGATGTTACAGTAAGTAATTCTGAGTTTAACAAACAAACTTCAAGGTAATGAAGTAATGAAATCCACAGCAGTCTTTTTTCAGACACATTCGAAATCAAAAACTAGCACATTATTGCCACTTCACCAGAATATCTGCCTTGGTATTCAATCAATAACTTTTCCCAGGTCCAGGCCCATCATGTGAACGTCTTCGCTGGTTCCTCTGTATATTTCGAAGGAAGTTTATGACAGTACAAGTAAGAGACATGTAAAAGTTAAAACACTCAGTATAGTCGGATAGTGCTGCAAACGAATGCGCAACAATTTTATTCATTTAGTTGCGTTGTGAAATGCCCGTCACCATAGAAGAGGCATTTGCTGACTTTTCACTCGGTTTGTATCGTGAGGCGTGTGCGACTCCCGATGATGCTGTTCTGTCGCCGGCTGCCGTTTCGCTTGCTCTTTTCCCTGCATATGTTGGATGCAAATATGATGCCCATACACAGATACAGGAAGCTTTGCTTGGTAGCAAAGCTACTGAAAAAGACACTCTGAAGTGTTTTGCTGACCTATCGAAAGTGGTCGACAAGAAAGTGACGTCGCCGGCGTTGCGGGTGTCAAATCGTATTTACAGTCAGAACGGTTTTACGATCTCAGACACGTACAAGCGGCGTCTAGCGAACGAGTGCGGCAGTTGTGACGTGGTCTCAATCGACTTTTCCTCCTCAGCGGTATTCGATAAGGACGTCAATCGTTGGGCAAACGAATCAACTGGTGGAAAAATGAAGCAGATCGCTTCAGCGGACATGTTCCCTTTGTCAACGAAGATGGTCATTCTGTCGGCCGCGTCGTTCAATGGCCGATGGCAGTGCGAATTTGTTTCATCTGATACATCGAAGAGAACGTTCTACAGTAATCCAACAAGTAGTTCCAAAATCTACATGATGAAACAAACACTGCAGTGTATGTACGGCGAAAATGACGCATGTCAAGTATTACAAATGGATTACACGGATAAACTCATGAGCTTGTTGATTTTTCTGCCTAAAGAAAAGTTTGGGTTAAAACGGTTTGAGTTGAATCTTTCTGGAGCCAAGATTTTCAATTTGATTAATTCTGTACATCGGAAAGCCGTTAAGGTATTTCAGTAGAATGCAGTCAGTACGGTTTAAGCTTTGACAGTGTACGTGTTTCAGGTAGTAATTCCAAGGTTTGGTCTAGAAAACAGCTTCAGTCTTAAACGTTCTTTACTGAAAATGAAAATCACACACGTTTTCAATCCGGATTTGGCGGATTTTACTGATATGACAACGAAACGAGGATTGTGCATTTCTTCGGTCATCCACAAGGCTATCATTGAGGTAATTTCATCTCTAGTACGATTATTAACTTATCAATTGAAGGTCAGTGAGAAAGGATGCGAAGCAGCCGCAGTAGGGTTTCCATCTACCGCGGCGTCTTTGGCGGTCTGCATGGAACCACCGAAGGAGTTTATCGCAGATCATCCATTTTTGTTCATGGTCATAGGTGGAAAACAAAAGAGCATCTTGTTCATTGGACGCTTCACTGGAGGTAGGTTTCACTGCGGCTTGGTGGCACACAGCGGCAAAGAGGTCGGCTTCGGTCTCCGTCAGTGGCGGGTTCATATCCGCAAAAGAGATCATCTTATCATCTTTTTCTTAACTGCGTGTTGCTTTGAGCAAGGAATTAACTCCACGCTGTTTCGGCGCAACCAGCTGAGAAACGAGTTGCAGGTCGATGAATTACGAGAGAAAGGCCCATTCTGGTATGGTCATATCAGAACATTGAGAGATGGATGACCGCGTTGTCCGACGTGGGTACCTCTTGCGGCTGCAATTCATCTTAATCCATTTAATGATCACGTCCGATAGTAAACATAAGGTGTAACTCCAAAAAGCAAAAAAAGTCATTCAAATTTTCAAGAACTTCTGTTTAGCATCAACGGAGCATTAAGCTTCACAAATCAAATTGACAGCACTATTAAACAAACGCATAAGCAGCAAAATTAATAAATTAGCCGAGCGAAATCGTACTAACGTTTTGGCCCCACAGCTGCTGCCAAAAGTTTTCTTAAAGACGCTTCACGCAGAGCAACCATTGCTTTCCTACGCGTAAAGCTGCAACTATGAGGTACGCTGTTTACCACAAACATATCGAACGCTAAGTGCATCTTTCATTTTTAAGGTACGAGTCCTTCGCAGCAATCATTTTCCTCGACATGACTGCGTAAAACATTAATTTTAAGATTTATCCTTACGGGATTGCACGAAATAATTACGGCTGTGTAGAAAAAAATATAAAAAGAGATCTTGTAGCGCATTCCGTTCGGTAAATTTGAGAAATAAATTTAAAATTAAAAGATTTCATGTTATTTCATATGCACAAACTAGAAACAGGCCTCGGTATTAAGAGTTTGCCATCAAACTGCTAGTTTTCAAAACCGCTGGTAAGAATAACTATTTCCTGTCGCCCCTCCGGGCCTATATGGCGTAACGCATCTTCTCTTTGATGTTAGTATCCTAGTGGCCGATAAGCAGGTCACGGCTTCATGACACTTTAGCATCTGCAGTTCATGGGCTCAAAAAGCGCCACTTATTGGTCAAGCAAACACCCGTTTGAACCC